TGCTGTTTAAGACTCGATTGCCCCACGATAAGACCAAGTGCTTCAAGTTCATTTAGCGTCTGGGCGAGCGTCAGCAAAAAGCCAAAAGCAGGGTGAACTGAAGGAGTGAAAATAGGAGTGAAAAACAGCACCTTCCACTGCAAGCAGTAATAAAGATGGATGGGTGGGCTGCAGGGCAAATGGAAAGTAAGCCCAGAAAGACAAGTTAAAAGCTGTTGGCTGGCGGTCTAATCAGCAACACTACTGAAAATGTGAGGAGTGGAAGCTGGAAGGGACCACTGCCAACAAAAAGAAGCCTTTTCAGTGGATGTCACTCTTTTTCCCCGTGTTCTCTAATCATGCTCAGTCATCAAACCACTAGCTGCAGATGTCATTTGCACCTCTTAACCGCCTGCTGAGGAACGAGGGCGGGGTGTACACAGTGTACAGAAATTCTCCCAGGTTAGCAACACCTGATAATGGGGTTGGCGAGTAACTGACAGATGCCAGGCTGCGTCTGACCCAGCAGACTTTTAACGGTTTCAGCTGAGAGATCAAACAGCACACGGCCGCCACTACGATTTTGTTTTACGGTTACAAACTGTACGTCTTGTACATGTATATGAGCGAAGCACTGAAGGTCAGAAGTATTTTATTGATCTTTTTTTTTAATGATGTCGTTTAAGTGTAAATCTTTATGTGGAGTGAACCTTTTCCACAGCCCCTGCCTGTGGGAGATCAGGCAGGACCTCGATTGAAAGTCAGCCCAATCATGTTTTAAGTATCGTCGAGTGCTCAAGGGGGAAAATTCACTTCAGCGGTCACCATAATGCCTCAAATTTGTCATGAAAACCAGCCACCATGTTGTCATTTCATATTGCTTACACGATCTGGACTCGGTGGAAGTGTTCGAAACAGCTTGATTTTTTTTTTTTATACTATGATGTTTGTAAAATTAGACGTTAAAAAGTAGTATCGGCTAATCAATGTTCGCAGGTAAAGTGCAACAAAGTCAAGAATAACAGCTGCCAAAATCAACAAAACATTGACTTTTGCTGAAAGTTTTCAGTGACGGTCAGAATTATGGGAAAATCTTAAAGAGAACAATGATGTTTTGTTTAAAAACACTTACTTTGTTTCTGGTGGAGAAGTGGAGCAGGATATCAATCCCTTTCTCCAAACAGGCTCTTAAATATTAAATCAAAGCCAACAGCTGATGACCCTAACGTAGCATAAAATAAAGACTGGAAACTACCGTGGCTCTGCTTAATGGTACCAAATACTGCCCAATTGCACCTGTAAAGCACACTAAATAATCCAATGGTTCTCAAACTGTGGGGCCAGCCCCACTCTTGGGGCATAGACCCCCTGAAGACGGGGCTTGGAGGACAAGGAAAGAACTCCGAGCTAAAGTGAATGGAGATGGGTTTTGTATTGTAAATAAATTGACGCTATGATGCTGACATTTATTTTACTTTAACATTAAACTTGTTATTGTCACAGACAAGTGGGAGTGATTGAATTGCGTTTGATTCGTGTATTGCTCTCCACCTGCTTTAATACTGATGATTATGTCGGCGGGCTTGTGTATGTTCTCTACAGAGGAAATAAAAAGAGGAGGATGATGGGGAGAAAATGTGTAGTCAGGTCCACAGTAGTGTATACATATCACCAAGGAGAGCAGCCAATCATATTCAACCTTGCTAACACAGCAGCGAATGAGCTTATCAGCAGAAGGGGTAAACAGTATTGAGTCATAACATTTGCCTGGCTCTTTAATCCCCTTCTTACAGTTAATAGGAACCGTACACCAACAAGATGACATTAGCAAACTTGACGGTTGTAAATTCCTGGCCTGATGGGCGGCTGGGTTTGTATACAGTAGTGTAAAACCCTGGGTGTTGGGCATGTTATAAAAGCTTTGAGAACCATTGAATGAACCCTTTTTGATTCATTTTATGGGGAGATTTGCTAAAATGTTTATACCGTTTCCAGTCTTTGCATTAAGCTAACAGCTGCTGGTTGTAGTTTGTTCAGTCACAGTAGGGAAAACAGGTGTTGGAAACTATCGCAGACAAGTTGCACTCGTCAGCCCTGACTGACTCAGATTGATTGCAGTCAGTTACCACAATCTGTCTTCATTTGTAACTTAGGCAGCACTTCTGTGCAAGCCTTTGCCAATCTGTCAGAGTGATTGCATTCGGTTGAAGTCACACCACGACTGTTTGGAGACGGGTTGGGTTCTAATAGGCAACTGGTGCAGTCTCCTCTGAATCAAAAGTGCCCAGAGTTTGAGGGTGCTGCTTACTCAACCTGTAGGCAACCAGTTGCAAAAATGCAACAAAAAAAAAAAAAAACTTCAATGTTTTGGTTTTTTTTCATAGTCACAAGCAGGTTGCCATCCTATTTTTACTCCAGTGTGACCGAGCCATAACAAATATGAGCTTGCTTTCCACCAGCTGGCAAGCCTGTTTTCTAAACTGTACAACTTGTCTTTAAACACTTCTGACTTTTCAGTACAGGTATTCAGTATGTTCCACCATAATCACGTCATCCCTCTGCAGAGAACTCTCCCACCTCGGACAGAAAAGTCACTTTACAGTGTCGCCATATTGGTTTCACTTCATCTTCGACTGTTGCTTGATGAATGTTTTCTTTGCCAAATAGGTACGTTGTCTGCTGCTTTCCAGCGTAGTTTGCAGGTGCAGATACTAGGTGAAAGGATGCAGTCTGGTACACCCACTTCCACTCTGCATGGTACTTGACCAGGAGTCAGTCCACTGGAGCCCAATCCATCATGTACGAGTGCTTTATTTGACCTTGTCAAGACTTAATTCATGCAATCTAAATAAAAGGCATAAAATTCTTATAAATGTCATTCAGATTATGTTCTGTGAGGATGTTTTTATCAAACAAAATGTCATAAGGCCAGGGTTCCTGTGTATTTATTGAATATATTACTGAAAAAGATTTTGTTTTTTAAACCGATACTGAAACATGCAATAAACTGTCAAGATATTGTAGTTTAATAGACCTGAAAACAAAGAAATCTCAACCTGACTGTCAAACTTGTCATTGCCAAAGAAAACTAGCTGGTGCCACTGACTGAGAGCTAACGGATGACTTGTTTTTAAAAAGATTAACTTGCAAACAGATAGTGAGGGGACAATAGTGGAGTTTCTTTAAATCCAAATCGCCTGCTCCATATTGCTACTCTTGCTCCGTAATCCCTCCAAGTGAAACATTAAAAATGTTGGATCAGGCCTTTTTACCCAAGAGGGATAAACACGGAGCCAGATTTCTAATTAGTGTGGGCGAAAATGGCTGCGCAGAGTCCAAATTTCCACTTTGTGTTGCTGCACTGAACTAGAAAAACCAGCCTGGCTCCTAACCTCATCACGTCTGAACACTTTTATTGGCGCTCCAGGGGCCTCATAATTACCTGGCTGACTCTAAAACAGTCCTCGGGGCTCTGTTGGGGTCAGCTGGTGTTCCTCCGGTCCCTGTAGTTCCCACCCTCGAGGATCTGTGGCACAGCTGGTTTTCTGTGGCTCGGAGCAGGATGCTTTTGCCTGGAAGGCTGCAGTCACTCTGTTAGGTGTAGAGTTGTGAAAAAGGAAAAAAAAAAAGTGCTCCTGGGTCTGATCCCCAGCTGTGGGCGACCTGCAGCGTTGTACCAGACTGATGACTGATGACAGCGTCAAACATACCATTGAAGGCCAGATGAATGGAAATAAAAGCTCTCAACGTTGTTAAAAAAAAATGACTCTTGTCCTTATTCAGGTGTCTGTTGTAAATCTGCTCCTTAGACTTGGATCAGGACATTTTGGGAAGTAATTATTTGCTCTTTAGTGGAGTTCTGTCAAGGGGGGAGGTGCTGCATATATTGGCAACCTACTACTTCCCAGAAATTTCCCATTTCTGACCACAATGCACTAATAGTTGGAGTTCCTACTTGGTAAACTTTGGTGGGGCTTCTCAGCTTTGACGTTAATATTTTCCATCATTCCCCGAAATGACAGCTTTTTTTCCAGGTAATAAAACTAACCACCTACCTTCAGGTGACCTTTTTAGCTCTTTGGCGTCTTCGGTTAAGTGAACAACACTTACCTGTTTAACTTCTTACTAATGCAAATATCTCATCGGCTCAAAATAGTCTCACTGTTTTTAAGGTTTTCTTAACAAGTCAGAGTGCTCGGTCCTAAAAAGGCCTCCAACGTCACAACCTAACCTCAACCTAATAGAGCACTTTTGGAATGTGGTGGAACGAGAGATCCGCATCATGGATGTGCAGCTGCGTGACGCTACCATGTCAATATGGACCAAAAATATCTGAGGAATGTTTCCTGCACTTTGCTGAATCTACGCTATGAAGAACTGTGCCTAATAAAGTGTCCAGTGAGTCATTTTTCTCAGAAATAAAACACTGTTTGTTCCACTTTGTGCGCAGATCAAAAATTTGTAAATGACTTTTTCCCCCTTTGTGGTTTTGTGAAAATTAAGGCAGAAACCTTAAGAGATGTGAAACATATATCATGTAGTTACCAGTTGTTCATAACCTGCTACACAAAAATTTGATTTGTCGGGCAGACCTTTATATCTTTAGTCACAGCCACTTCCAGGGCTGCCTGCTGTGTGTGTGTCACAAAACTAACTCAGTGGCCAGAGTTGGGAATGAGAGGCAGGTGTTTGAAGGAGGAGAGCATTACAGCACCATGTGCTGATCTGGAGTCTGGATCTAAGTAAATATTTTAACTACATTTTTACAATGTACTTTATTAATATTTTTTTAAATGTAATTTTTATGCAAAATGCAGAATGATCCATCTATCCAGCCAGCCCATAAATATTTCATCCCACACTTCGAAAGCAGCTCATTTAAGCAGGAAAACCACAGACCTGGCAACCCTGGATGTTTTCCTCCATTTCCAGTCTTTAGGCTACATTAAGCTGGCTCGGACTGCACATTTGCCATTAAAGCTAACTCTCCAAGAATGCGAACAGGCCTGTTCCCCAATATTGTGTCAATGGTTATCAGTGCTGGCTAAACACAACCTGCACTTTAAAACTAAGTGCACACCAAACTAAAAATTTTCTGTTATTCCTGATTGTGAAAAAAATGATCATCTATTAGAAAATCTAGATAACATCTGTTTTTTATTAAAACCTGCAAAAACCTCTTTTGAAAACGTAGAAATTGAAATTGGCCCAACAGAAGCTCTAAAGGGACGAGGAGTGGTTGCAGTATTCATAAGTGAGAAGAAGGGTTCAAATCTGACATCACTGGGACAGAGAAAGAAGAATGCGCCCCACACCTCTCGGTTTCAACCAGCAGAAGCAGGGGAAAGGGTTTCATTCACTAATACAAGGGTGTGGCTGTGCAGTCTTCAGCATTCTTATCGGGGGATTTTCTGACTCATAGCTGCTCTTTCAGAGGAGTTTAAAATGGCCTTTGTTCCAGATGAACTACTCGCCTGGATAATAAGATTTCTCAGTTCTGAACATTTTTTCCCCATTTTATTTTAGCCTTTATTTAATAATGAAAATGAGAAAATATGATCATCTCCTTCTTGTGATTTGTTTCGCCACTCAAACTCAAATTACAGCGTACACAGTCGAGGCAGAAACGGCCAGGTTTACTTGGCCTGTGCAGGCTTTTGCATATTCCTCCTCAGCGGGAAGCACCATGTTTCTACATGAATGAACATGGCTGAGTTGTTAGAAGGCTGAATAGTGAAACAGGCTCGATCTGCATTACACAGGAAAGGAAGCTGCTCTTTGATACCGGTGGCATGCAGAGCTGTGTCCAATTCTGTAAGAGACTCGGCAAGCACAAGAAAGAATTGCATTCCTCTCGTCTAAAGTGGCGTCAGATGCATAGTGCACTGAGTTATGCAAGACCACGAGATAAAAAAGAAAATCTGTCTTTGTTTAACGCACAGCCCACAGAAACGACCATAAAACTGGTAGACTAGGAAGAATAACCCAAGAACCTAAAAGGAAAAACCAATGAATGGATCTTGCATAATGTCATGTGCGTGTAAACAAACTGTATAAAGCATAGCTTGTAAGTATAGCTGCAGCATGTTATAGGCCCTTTGTAACAGTCTTCTTCATTCATTGTCTTTTGTCGGTGGCTACGACTGATTGAGTAATGTCTGGTATGCTGGTGGCAGCTGAAATCCAGAAAAGGAAAGAAGGAAGGAGCCTGCTAGTACTGGACCGAGCTCTTTGGTCCAAGATTCAGAGGCGGAAAAATGTCTGGAAGTGTCTTAACATGGTCCTGTAAACAAGGCGGAAGCAGGAGTCAGCCCATCTGTCTCAGAGAAAGGTGGCAGATTAAAGGGTATTCATGCAGTCTGGCAGTTAAGACGAGGAACCCATGCTCACCTCTCACACCTCTATGCAACACACAACACACATCCCACAGGGAGTTTTCTTGCGTTCCGAAAATGTAGAGGGAATGCTCTTTCTGGAAGTTCGGTCTTGGAAAATCGTCCTCCTATGTGTCGGTGAGGGTGTGCCAGTGGCAGACCTGCTGTCCCTCAGCCTCCTTCATCTCTATCCAGTGGGCCTGCTGCTCCTCGCTGGTGCTGTTGAGGCCCAGGGAGACCCAGCCCAGCCTCTCCCTGGGCCTCATGCTGCTCCGGCGGCAGAACACCGACACCACTAGTGACACCTCGGACAGCTGGAAGAGCGCCACCTGGAACACGAATGTCTCCTTGTAGATCGGATTGGGCTGGCCACGGCAAACGGCCGTCTTACACTTGGACATCTCCTTTCCCTTTGAGTCCAGCATGGTCAGCTTCACATAGGTGTCTGAAAGGAAGCATTGGAGGAGAGAAGTGAGACATTGCCATCAAGTGGTCGGACATGTGTACTACAGCAGGAGGTACGGAGTGTCTTTTAATAATAGCTCTCAACACCAAGAACGCTATAATTGCCTCACTCCTAAAACTCATGCTGCTGGTGGATTTTTTTTTAACTGTGGAACTCTTTGAAAACTGCAAATGAAGTCCCATTAATCTATTTCATATTTGCTGGCAGCAGATTTCTGAAATATTCTGCACATAAATTATAAATGATGCTAAAGGAAAGTGACCTTTAGAACATGCAAGCAAGTCAGTGCAGGGTAGAAAACTAAAAACTTTGTGGCTTGCGAAGGACTACTGACTGACATGACTGACATTTCTGGGAAGCTACTTTCTTGCCAAGATACTGATCTCTATCAGCTTAGTAAATATGGAGTTAGAGCCTGGAGAAAGTTGGATTATCTCAGAGTAACAACAGGAGAAAACAGCAAACCAGCCAAGGGCTGACCTAATTTAACTAATTCTGTAGAGTCAGTCTAATGCTCCTCTGACTGTGCCACTTCTCATGTTAGCAAGCTGTTCCCTCGATGCTTACATTTGGAAACAGCATACCTGGTTTACTGAGGTTACTACTAAAAAAACAACTGTGTCTGTTAAACTAAAAACACATTAAACGTTAATAAAAAAACAAAAACGAAATGCACTACATGGATCTGCACTATTAGCCAAAAGTTTCCTACCAATCAAATCTTTAATCCAACAAATGTTTTTGTAACTGACATTCGTTCACCACATTAATGCACAACTAGCTAAGCTCCCAGCTCTAGATTTATATATATAACATAAAGAAGTGAGAGCTGAATTCACCCTGTCTGACAAGAAAGCAAAATGCTGAAGTCTGGCCTCAGAGGACCAAACCTAAGAATGCTACAAACTGGTACCTACGGTGCGTAATGTAGTGCACAAAAGTCTTGATCTACCTCCCATTTCTTTATATTTTGCAAGAAAGAATGAATGAGATGTGCAAATAAATACATGGAAACATGCAGTAAATAAGGGAAATAAAACAAAGTTTGTAAAATTCTAACAAACTTGGTATGACCACCTTTGTTCTTCAGCAAAGTCACTCTCATAGCCAAGCTTTCTTGTAATTTCTCCAAGCAGTCTTCTCCAGGCTTCTTAACAGACGTTTAAAGCTCTTCTTTGGATGTTGCCTGCCTTTTGTTCTGTTCTCTGTCAACATGATCCTACACTGCTTCAATAATGTTGAGGTCTGGACACTGGGGAGGCCATTCCCCATTAAATTAGACCTGCTTGAACTGATTTTCAGTTCGGTTCTTGCGTAATTTGGCATACCTCATCCTTTTCTCCTCGTTTCCCTTCCTTAAGAGTGGTTTCTTGACAGCAACATTTCCACTGAGACCACTTCTGCTGAGGCTTCAGTGAACAGTAGATGAATCAACTCAAGTTTCAGATGCATCTCCTGCAAACGCGGTGCTAGATTTTTTCTTAGTTTGCAAGGATGGGACTCATAGCATTCCTCTGAAAATGGTCAGGTACAAGGACTGGACTGAAAATGAGTGAAAAAGCCTCCAATGCCCAACAAAAAGCTCTGAAGGTCCTTCAGAACGCCTGGAGAACATTGCTCAAGATCACTTTTAAAAATTACAATACAGCCTGGCAATATAAAGAGAAAAATGTAAAGGAATGGGAGATGGGGCAATACTTTTACACAGTTCTACACATCTGTACAACCCTCACCAAATCTACAAACGTACAGAAAGCTTACATTTAGTTTACTTTTGTCTTACCTCTCATGATATAAAGCTGTCCCCCTACGAAGTGTTTTACACAACAAAACAGACCATCTGTGGCAGACACACACCATAGCACACACACCATTGGAAAGAAGAAAGAGGGGAAGCAGTTTAAAGATTTCAATATACAGCAGAAGGTCAGCTTTCACGGGAAGCACGGCGAGCATGACAAGCAGCAGGTCCTTCAGCATTTTGGCTTTAATAGCTTAGGTTATTAAAAAGCTGGTGTTCGTGCCAGGAAACGTTCAAATGTAATGATCCTCTATTTGCTTCTGTTGCATGCTGTTGGAAGTCCTGCCCATCTGCTCGGCCCAAACAATAGCCTGACATATCAGCACCCATCGGGGGAAGAGAAGTTTAACTGAACAATTTACAGCGTCATTCCACACTTCAACCCACGCTGGCACAAAAGCCCAAAGTTAAATATATGTACTTACTGACGGGTTTATCAGATGCTGTCGTTTTGAAGTGATTTCCCTTGATTACCTCAGCTGAGAGCTGCCCTGTGGCAGAGTTGTAGATGAGACCCAGGAGGATCTCGGGTGTGGATGAGTCTTCAGTGGAGCGATAGGACAGAGCCCCCGCACTGCGAGACACGCTCACCACAGAGCCACAACCCTGGCGAGGCAAAACCCAGAGGCACTTTGAGTCAATTACCACTTAATCATCAATTAAAACAATAAGAAGCCAATAATTCATTAATCAACCTAGGAGTTAGGAGGGGCAGTTTGAGAGTGTGACAAAGACAGATTTCTGAATCTGTAGAGAATGATGGTAGAAATGTAACTTTCAGTGGAAAAAAGCATCAAAACTTATTCACCAAAACTTTTAAATGTTTTTTAAACCAATTTAAATGGTGACACTATACATGCAGTTTTTATGTCCTAGATGCCCACAGTTGCTTCTTAATAACTGCTCAAATAAAAAATAAAATAACTGCTTCTACAAGGATGTGTAGATGAAGGAATGCTGAAGATACTGTTAAAATAAAGTAGAAATGGTGTACAGCTGATATTTGAGATGTAAAGTATATTTTAAAAGTGTTCTCACTGTAAGTTCAGAGCCAGGCTCCAGGGTGACAGGTAGAGCAATTTTGCCCTGCAGGTTGAGCTTCGTCAGGTAGAACACCTTCTCTCCCAGGACCTTCTCTTTTTTCATCCGTCTGATGCTGTACAGGCGGAAGCGAACAGCATAGTCTCCCAGGGCCTCCTGCTCCACCCTGGAAAACTTGAATGTTTCTGTGAAGATGGGACACGGGCCCTTCTGAACGCCGGTCTTAGCACGTTGCTTCTTGGTGGGCAGCAGGACCAAGTGGACCTGCCACGAGATGTTGCCGGTCTGTTTGAGAGCAGGAATGTCAGTTGCAGCTGTGACAGTGACGGCCAGCCACTGCTCACTGGAATCGTACTCAAAGGCGACATCCAGGGTGCCGTATTTGGCGAGGGGCTCTGGCTCGTAGGCAGTGGGAAGCGGAGGACCAGAACCATCCTGAATGTACAGAAAAGAAAAAACAATTTCCCCCTCCTTTATGAAATTTACTTTAATTTCTGGAATGTTATTAATTTTTCCCCATTCTGACATAGTATTAGAACACTCAAATAATTAAGTCAGTTCAGAGTATATTTCCACATTTTTACAGAAAATACACAACAAAAAAATGAAACTGTTGTCAGCGAACGGATCACCCAGCCCTTCCTGTAAGTGTTGATGAAGTGTTGCTCCCAACTTTGATCATTCCATCAAACTACAGGGCATCCAAAACAAACTGCTTACACACAGAAAAGACAACAAACAGTAGGTCTGATCTCCCACCTCTGGCCCTAGAACAGCAGTGCTGTCACTGGGTATGTCCTCATCACAGGCTTTGTTGAGGTAACTCTCTGTGTCCTGGTCCCCGCTGGCCTCACTGGAGCAGTGGGGGCTGTCACAGTGCTGTGTGGACGGCGCCCTCCTGACCCCTCGCTCTGAGCGGGATCGAGAACCCACGCAGGCCCCTGAGCCCTCGTCTTGGTACGGTGGAGGCTGAGGTTCACCGAGCGAGGAATCTTTCTTTATCCTCTGGATGCTGCTGGCTGCTCTCACGACAGTGACAAAGAGGGATGCAGAAGGAGTGTTACTGGAGTCGTACTGTGCTCTGCATGGAAACTCACTAGGTATGCAACATACAGTCTAGCGACATACAGTGTCTCCTCAGTCTTTGCAAACCTATATTGTCATTTTAAATTCTTGTTAAATCTTGGAAAAACAACATTTCATTAAAGGGAGTTTTTCCTTCCCACTGTCACCAAAGTGCTTGCTCACAGGGGGTCATATGATTGTTGGGTTTTTCTCGGTATGTACTATTTTACGGTATACCTTACAATATAAAACGCCTCAAGATGACTGTTGTTGTGGTTTGGTGCTGTATAAATAAAACTGAATTGAACTGAATTGTAAAGAAAGCTCTTAGAACATTAGTTAGTTATCCCAACTGGCAAAGACGCACAGTAAACAAGGTCAGACAACAATAAGGGAGAAACAAAATGACAAACAGAACAACGCTGCCGTCCCTTATGTAGCAGGTTTATCGGATAAACTCAGGAAACTCTTCTCCAAGCACGACATCCCAATGCACTTCACACACAGCCATACACTCAGACAAAAACTGGTTCATCCCACGGACAAAACTCCCAAACACGAACTGAACATCGTAGTGTATGCAGTGCAGTGAGGAGTGCTCAGACCTCTACATTGGAGAAACCAAAAAGCCACTTCATAAACACAACATAGAAGAGCCACCTCGACAGGACAAGACTGAGCCGTACATCTGGATCTAAAGAACAAAGGTCACTCTTTCGAGGATGTCAATGTCCACATTTTGGACAGAGAAGACAGATGGTTTGAAAGAGGATGAAAGAAGCCATCTTTGAACAGAGGGTGTGGCTTACAACACCAACTGTCTGCCACCTATAATGTAGTTTTGAGATCCCTTTCCAGGTGCCTTTAATTCCCATTAATACCTTGCAATGGTTTCACATGAAACCTCTGCTGATAAGAACCCACACCCTTTTTCACACTTTGGCTCGTGTGATGAGGCACATGATAAATACTGGCTCCTTATTCATATTCATATTAAATCTATTCATTAAATATGTATCTGTGATTTTTTTCCTCATCACAATACTTGACAAAAGCAGCTTTAATTAAAACATTTAAAAGATCATTTTACAACAATAAAGATCAACACCACATTATGTTTGTGCAGTAAAAAAATGAAGATACAGCCAGTTAGGTTAGATTGGCCTGGCATCTGAAACAGGTGAACACAACACAATCAAAACATATCACTGCATAAAGATAGAAATAGTGACTTTTAGAGATTGTAGCATGAGAATATTTGTTACTTCTGGATCAATCTGGGTGAGTTTTTCCCCATTAGTCCTGAGGGTAGTGTCATTATTGAATTATAACCAGATTCATGTATTTGGGTGTTAGACTGCTATCAATTTTCTATTCCAAGTCTGGGAAAGAAACCAAATAAATTTTACTTCCTTCCAGTAACAGACATTTAGCACTAACCCAAGATGTTTAGAGAAAAGGACACTCGCCAGAAACTCTCCATATGAAATATGTAGCTATTTCTATTAATTAAATAAAAAAAAAACAGAATAGACACTACAATTACAGATAGATAAACACAAAAAGATGTTATGCATTTGATGTTCCGAGTTTAGTATTTATGCAATCTTAGATGATTCTTGTATGCATTGTGTTTTATGATTCTTATCATATTGTATCTGATTTTGTGGGGTTTTATGTTCAGCGATGTACCGTGTACGTACTTTTCCACTGCATGTGCTCTCACCCTGTTCACTGGAGGCCTCGCTGCTGTATCCTCCGTGCTCAGATGACTGTTTGCGTGTGCTGCTCCATGCAGAGGTTGTGTTCTGCTGGGCCTCGCCCTCTGGAATTCTGTCCTCCTCACTGTCTGATAAAACTCCCTCTGCACGTCACACATGGGCATTAATTCTAGTAAACCACAGATTATAACGTGTGCAATATTTAACGAAGTAAGAAACTCAACCAGTTAAACATGCAGCTGCTGAAACTGGCACACGACAGGTCGAAATTGTGAATTTTAGTGCAAGAACTTGAAAACATGAGCAGAAGAGAAGATCCAAAGGGCAGTGAGGAGAGAGAAGCAGCACACTCTCTAACCTTGGTTTCCTTTCTTTTTCCCCTTTTTGCTCTTCTTGCCTTTGTCCCTCTTTTTCTCCACATCCGAAGCCTGTTCAGTTTTTTTCGAACCCTCTTTTGCGACTTTCCCCTTTTTCTTATCCAACGTTTTCACTCTGGAAGACGATCTATAAAGCTCAGATTCTTCCTCATCGTCTCCCTCTCGCTCAGTGCCATCCTCTACCTTCTCTCCCTCCTCATGATCTTTTTGCTCTTCCTGCTTTGACACCCTGCTTTCACTCTCACAACCAGATGAATGAGGAGTTTTATCATTGTCACCACTTTTTTGCTGAACAGCTGATTGGTCATTTGACTTCTTTTCTGTGTTTTCTAAATCATCAGCCTTCTCCTCTTGAGAGTCTTCTTCATTTCTTGGAGACTTGGCTTCTTTCTCCAGCTGCTTCTGTCTCCTTTCTCTTCTCCTCTGTTCTCTGCTCTCGTGTAGCTCCTTCTCCTCTTTCTTCCTCCTCTCTTCCTCTGCTAACTCGGCTTCTGTCTTTTTAACTCGCCAACATCCGTCCCTCCATTCCCACTCCAGCTGGCTCTGAGTGTTCTCTGCCTCGGTTGTATCACTAGTTTGGCTGTTCTTTGAGCCTGCGTTCCCCCCCTCTGAGTCTCTGGGCATTTGCCACATGCTTTTACTCCCGGACTTGCCTTCTTGCAGGGTGGAATTCTGACCCGATTCCTGGCTGCCGTTTTCTCCATCTTCCTTTTCCTGCACCTTGTCGATGATAGTAGTGACCTGTTCGGTCAGCTGGTCACTGACAGCATAGGTGACATCGCTGACGGCATTGGCGAGATCGTCCACACGACTGGTGACTGAGTCCAAGATGGAGGAAATGTTGACAGATGGGAGGTTCTGCTGGAAACTCTTGAAGAAGGCCATCTCTCAGCCGGGGTTCCTCCTGTCACCGTGCTGATCACTAGATTAGCTCATCAGAGGCACTGACACAACATGTGTTTGTTAGCATGGTGTGCTGGCAGTGTTACAGTGAGTGCTGACATGTACATACGCACCAATATGGTGGTAATAAGAATTATACTCGTTACAGGTCTCATGCTTAGACATTATCGGTCAGTTTCACGGATGTAGAGTAAGCCTAGTCATAGACTAAAAGAAAAACACAATTAAGACCACAAAAATAGCTTTCAGTTCAAGACTTAGACAAGACTATGTGTGTCACAGCAAAAGCAATAAAATGTGTATTATTCTGCCTTCAAAATAAGAAAATACAAAAACTGCAGTGTTACACATTTAATGGTTTAAGCCAACTGTGCTAACTCTTACTTCCTCTACTCTGACACTGTGCTGGTTTTGTCTTGGTGCTTTTTGCAAACAGCACACATTATGACTCGTTTGCAAACCGAACATTCAATAATCATAACAGCCTGAATCCACGGGCTGCAACGGTGACTCATCGGTGGATGAACTGTGGTAATTGTTGGGTCAAGCTTTTTGGCATCAGCGCTAATACATGCAACCAATTCTACACTGAACAACACATCACCACAATTCACCATCAGCCTTTTATGGCTGAGGGATAACAAGAGTTGGATGCACAAGTTTGAATTTAGTTTGGATTTTCCCTATTCAACCCAGGTTCAAAAAA